CCCCAGCATCAACCTGCTGGGTTCAGGCGATCCTTCCGCCTCAACCTTTCAAGTAGCCGGAACTACAGACACACACTACCACGCCTGGCTAATTTTTGATTTATTGGAGAGACAAGGTCTCACCAAGTTGCCCAGGCTGGTTTCGAACTCACGGGCTCAGGCAATCCACTCACCTCGACCTCCCAAAGTGCTGGGATTACAGGCTGAGCCACCAAGCCCGGCCCCAAAAAGTAAAAAAATGCATGCTTTTGAGGGGTGTTTGGATAACTTATATTTTCTGAATGACTCTAACTTTAATTCCATATTCTGCATTTTAGTTTTTGTCTTAGCATTAATCTAGATTCTGCTCTGTGCCTCCTTAAGTTTGAGCTATCACATACTAGTCAGGAATTGAACAAAGATGGATAACCACTCTGAGATTTTCCCTGTGCACATTAATAAATTTGTATGTCTGTTCTCCTATTAAAAAAAAATTGCAAAGTCTGGAACAAAGGAGCATCTGAGTGGAATCACAAGCGTCAAAGCAGCAGGGGACTTTGGTTACTCTTTCTCATCCCTTTAATCATGTGTTTTACAGAGGAGGAGTCAGACCCATGGAGCAGATGTCTGAAGGTTCTACGGCTGAAGCCTTTCAGTATTTTTTAGATTAATTGAGATGTTTCATGTATATTTCTTGCTTGCTTTATTTGTAGCATGCACTTAATGAAGTTGATCCTGGTGATTGGCAGAAATTTGTGAAGACAGGACTCAAGTAAGTTGATTTTATTTTCTTGGTGCCATTTAGTAAAGGTGTGAATGTTGTAGATCAAGCAAAGTCTCTTTTATAGCTTGTTACTGGCATAATACAGATGGTGGAGCAGATATCATCATCATGTTAAGAGATCAAGGATGAGGATTGGTAAAGTTAAATGATTTGCCTGTTGACACATGGGATGCTTCTAATGATGAAAGAAACAGCATTTTTAAAAAATGAAATATTTTAAAAATATAAGAATGTGCAGATAATAGTAGCAGCCCCCATATTTAATAAATGCTGACAACTTTGTATTTTTGTCTGTTTCATTCTTATTCTTCCCTAAAAGGAAGGTTGTAAGGTTGTACTTGGTCTCATGCATGTGTATTTTATATTTTATGTGTCTTTTATATTTTAATGCTTTCTGTGTCCGGTTTTCTTGGGGTTTTTTTTGAGTCAAAGTCTCACTTTGTCACCCAGGCTGTAGGGCAGTGGCATGCTCATGGCCACTGCAGCCTCGACCTGCTGGGCTCAGTGATCCTTCTACCTCAACCTCCCAAGTAGCTGGAGCTATAGGCACGTGCCACCACACCTAGCTAATTTTTTAATTTATTGTAGAGATGAGGTCTCACCAAGTTGACCAGGCTGGTCTTGAACCCATGGACTCAGGCAGTCCTCTCACCTCGGCCTCCCAAAGCGCTGGGATTATAGACGTGAGCCACTGTGCCCGGCAGTATATTTTTAAACAATAATATTATTTAGTGCGTTTAACATTTTACACAGAGATATCATTCTTTATGTGTCCTTTGGTCACTCAGATGTTTCTGATTTGTCCTTGTTGATATATGTAGATCTAAGCCATTTATTTTTACTGATTAATTTAGTCTTCTGACTATATTCCATCTTCTTTAGCTAGTCATCTGCTGATGGACATCTAGACTGTTCCTTCAGTTCTCCCTATTTCATCTCAGTCCTCCAGTATCTGTCACATGTCTCTTAGTACAGGGAGCAGTATTTTGGGATGGGGTAGGAGGGCTTACTAGCCACTAGTATGGTCACACCTTCAGTTCTAGTACTCAAACTGCTTTCCAATTTGTACTTCCAGCAGGGTGTATGCGAGAGTTCATTTTCTCTCACATGGTTAGACTTTTTACTTTTGGGCAATTGTCAAAACTATAGTGTAGTCAGAAAACAATATTTTGTTCTGCCTATTATTTTCATTTTCCTGATCATTTGTGAACTTGAAACACTAAGAGACAAATATTTTACACAGGAGGAAAGAAAGAAGTGGAGGTGGGTCTCAGGTTAATGACAACTATAGATTACTATCACAGAATGGTGACATTTTTTCAGTCTTTGGCTAATTTGTGTTTCTGGAGTACCCACCACCTGCTAGGTGATTCTTTTTTTTTTTTTTTTTTAAGTAGGATTTATTGAGAGGACAGAAAAGCTCCCAGACCAGGAAGGGACTCTAGGGGGTTGCCTTTCTAGGTGATTCTTAAAGCCATTAGTGTAGGACTGAGAAACTTGTTTTTTCTAGGACATGGTTGCTTTTCTTTCTGCAATGGATTTTGCGGGGATTTAAGACATAGAAGGCTTCTGAACTGCTTGATGGAAGTTCTGATTAATAGGATGTGAGGAGAGAGAAGAGCTGACTGGGCAAGGTGGGTTGGGGCATCAAGTGTTGTCTTTCTCAGACCCAGCTGTTTTGATGCCTCTTCGCATTTCCACTCAGCAGGAAGTTTGAGTCATAAAGGAAATAATGCTCTGTGTCCCTCCCTTGTTTCCAGAAGTTCTCACTGTGAGGGTGGACAGAATGTAATAGAGCATCCGTGATGCCATGTCGTTGGTAGACTCTAGATGATGGGGGTAGTCACTGTAAAATTCTCACCTTGGTTCTATGTTTGAAAATGTTAAAAGCCAGGCTTGGTGGCTCAGCCTGTAATCCTGCGCCTTTGGGAGGCTGAGGTGAGTGGATTGCCTGAGCCCACG